AGATTTGAAGCCAAAATCCATGAAAAAAGGCACTCAGAAAAATTGAAAAATTGATAAATCACCACAATTGCTTAGCACGATTTTATCTCAGGAACCATAAGTGTCAATGAGCTGAAATTTTCAGGGATTGTAGTCCTTTGAAAAGGATAATTTTTAGTGAAAGATTCAGCTTTCTATCTATAATAGAAAAAAAAGTTATGACTTTTCAAAATTTTCCAAAAAAATCATAAGGGGGGTACCTTCCTACTAAAACGATGAAATTTCAAATTTTTTTTTGTCGAGATTTTGTGTCCTAATGGTCCCTCGTGATACCCTGAACTCCATAAACTAAATTATTCTCAGATTTGAAGCCAAAATTCATGAAAAAATGCACTCAGGAAAATTGAAAAATTGATAAATCACCACAATTGCTTAGCACGATTTTATCTCAGGAACTATAAGTGTCAATGAGCTGAAATTTTCAGGAATTGTAGTCCTTTGAAATGGATAATTTTCAGTGAAAGATTTAGCTTTCTATCTATAATAGAAAAAAAGTTATGACTTTTCAAAATTTTCCAAAAAAATCATAAGGGGGGTACCTTCCTACTAAAACGATGAAATTTCAAATTTTTTTTTTGTCGAGATTTTGTGTCCAAATGGTCCCTCGTGATACCCTGAACTCCATAAACTAAATTATTCTCAGATTTGAAGCCAAAATTCATGAAAAAATGCACTCAGGAAAATTGAAAAATTGATAAATCACCACAATTGCTTAGCACGATTTTATCTCAGGAACTATAAGTGTCAATGTGCTGAAATTTTCAGGGATTGTAGTCCTTTGAAAAGGATAATTTTCAGTGAAAGATTCAGCTTTCTATCTATAATAGAAAAAAAGTTATGACTTTTCAAAATTTTCCAAAAAAATCATAAGGGGGGTACCTTCCTACTAAAACGATGAAATTTCAAATTTTTTTTTGTCGAGATTTTGTGTCCTAATGGTCCCTCGTGATACCCTGAACTCCATAAACTACATTATTCTCAGATTTGAAGCCAAAATCCATGAAAAAAGGCACTCAGAAAAATTGAAAAATTGATAAATCACCACAATTGCTTAGCACGATTTTATCTCAGGAACTATAAGTGTCAATGAGCTGAAATTTTCAGGAATTGTAGTCCTTTGAAATGGATAATTTTCAGTGAAAGATTTAGCTTTCTATCTATAATAGAAAAAAAGTTATGACTTTTCAAAATTTTCCAAAAAAATCATAAGGGGGGTACCTTCCTACTAAAACGATGAAATTTCCAATTTTTTTTTGTCGAGATTTTGTGTCCAAATGGTCCCTCGTGATACCCTGAACTCCATAAACTAATTATTCTCAGATTTGAAGCCAAAATCCATGAAAAAATGCACTCAGGAAAATTGAAAAATTGATAAATCACCATAATTGCTTAGCACGATTTTATCTCAGGAACTATAAGTGCCAATGTGCTGAAATTTTCAGGGATTGTAGTCCTTTGAAAAGGATAATTTTCAGTGAAAGATTCAGCTTTCTATCTATAATAGAAAAAAAGTTATGACTTTTCAAAATTTTCCAAAAAATCATAAGGGGGGTACCTTCCTACTAAAACGATGAAATTTCAAATTTTTTTTTGTCGAGATTTTGTGTCCTAATGGTCCCTCGTGATACCCTGAACTCCATAAACTACATTATTCTCAGATTTGAAGCCAAAATCCATGAAAAAAGGCACTCAGAAAAATTGAAAAATTGATAAATCACCACAATTGCTTAGCACGATTTTATCTCAGGAACTATAAGTGTCAATGAGCTGAAATTTTCAGGAATTGTAGTCCTTTGAAAAGGATAATTTTCAGTGAAAGATTTAGCTTTCTATCTATAATAGAAAAAAAGTTATGACTTTTCAAAATTTTCCAAAAAAATCATAACCTTCCTACTAAAACGATGAAATTTCAATTTTTTTTTGTTGAGATTTTGTGTCCAAATGGTCCCTCGTGATACCCTGAACTCCATAAACTAAATTATTCTCAGATTTGAAGCCAAAATCCATGAAAAAATGCACTCAGGAAAATTGAAAAATTGATAAATCACCATAATTGCTTAGCACGATTTTATCTCAGGAACTATAAGTGTCAATGAGCTGAAATTTTCAGGGATTGTAGTCCATTGAAAAGGATAATTTTCAGTGAAAGATTCAGCTTTCTATCTATAATAGAAAAAAAGTTATGACTTTTCAAAATTTTCCAAAAAATCATAAGGGGGGTACCTTCCTACTAAAACGATGAAATTTCAAATTTTTTTTTGTCGAGATTTTTGTGTCCTAATGGTCCCTCGTGATACCCTGAACTCCATAAACTAAATTATTCTCAGATTTGAAGCCAAAATCTATGGAAAAAGGCACTCAGAAAAATTGAAAAATTGATAAATCACCACAATTGCTTAGCACGATTTTATCTCAGGAACTATAAGTGTCAATGAGCTGAAATTTTCAGGGATTGTAGTCCTTTGAAAAGGATAATTTTCAGTGAAAGATTCAGCTTTCTATCTATAATAGAAAAAAAGTTATGACTTTTCAAAATTTTCCAAAAAAAATCATAAGGGGGGTACCTTCCTACTAAAACGATGAAATTTCAATTTTTTGTTTGTCGAGATTTTGTGTCCTAATGGTCCCTCGTGATACCCTGAACTCCATTAACTAAATTATTCTCAGATTTGAAGCCAAAATCCATGAAAAAGGGCACTAAGAAAAATTGAAAAATTGATAAATCACCACAATTGCTTAGCACGATTTTATCTCAGGAACTATAAGTGTCAATGAGCTGAAATTTTTCAGGGATTGTAGTTCTTTGAAAGGGATAAAATACAGTGAAAGATTCAGCTTTCTATCTATAATAGAAAAAAAGTTATGACTTTTCAAAATTTTCCAAAAAAATCATAAGGGGGGTACCTTCCTACTAAAACGATGAAATTTCAAATTTTTTTTTGTCGAGATTTTGTGTCCTAATGGTCCCTCGTGATACCCTGAACTCATAAACTAAATTATTCTCAGATTTGAAGCCAAAATCCATGAAAAAAGGCACTCAGAAAAATTGAAAAATTGATAAATCACCACAATTGCTTAACACGATTTTATCTCAGGAACTATAAGTGTCAATGAGCTGAAATTTTCAGGGATTGTAGCCCTTTAAAAAGGATAATTTTCAGTGAAAGATTCAGCTTTCTATCTATAATAGAAAAAAAGTTATGACTTTTCAAAATTTTCCAAAAAATCATTCATAAGGGGGGTCCCTTCTTACTAAAACGGTGAAATTTCAATTTTTTTTTTGTCGAGATTTTGTGTCCTAATGGTCCCTCGTGATACCCTGAACTCCATAAACTAAATTATTCTCAGATTTGAAGTCGAAATCTATGAAAAACGGCACTCAGAAAAATTGAAAAATTGATAAATCACTCCAATTGCTTAACACGATTTTATCTCAGGAACTGTAAGTGCAAATGAGCTGAATTTTCCGGGATTGTAGTCCTTTGAAAGGGATAAAATTCAGTGAAAGATTCAGCTTTCTATCTATAATAGAAAGAAAATTATGACCTTTCAAAGTTTTCTAAATGTAGATTAACTCTTGTTATTGGGTCTGTAAACTTTTGCTGTAGAGCAGTTTTAATATCGCTCAATGCATCTTAATATGATCTTGTTGAAGGAAAGTTTTCGGCTACGCTAATAATTTTCGACTTTATAGCTAAAATTACATATTCTTGTTGAGATGCATTGGCTTTAAAATATCTGACATAAAATGTATCAATTTGATTAATAAAAGTTTCTAAACGCGTTGGCGTTCCATCAAATGCTTTCAAAAGAGTTACGGTAGATTTTGATGCTTCAGCAGCCATTGTACTGTTATTTAAAATATCTTCAGGTTCACTAGAAAGTTCACTTCCTAAATCTCCTTCACTACTTCAGACAAAGCTTAAAATGCACTAAACTAGAATGTGAAAATATTCCGAATTTTGTATTTTGGAGTTGTGATAACTAATAATACCTACTTAATGTAATTATTAGTAATAATATTATCCGAAAACCTGACCTATGCTGTAATTGAAATTTTTATACATTTGTTTGTCAAATCAAAGTCGAAGTCGTATATTTTGATTGAAAACAATACAACATTTACATTCCTATTATTGTTTATCAATTATTTTGATTCGATAGTGGTAATTATTTAGCATTTAGATACCAATAGACCGAGAGATAATGATAGATTTTCGGACGTGATTCTACCTAGTAGGTATGTATTTTAGAGGGTATTATATTATTTATACATATTCTATTATTGATAAATCATGAAGTAAACAGGGATTTCGGGGGTCTTTCATATTATTGAAATTAACTAACATTTATTTGCAATCCACCATGAAATTCAGATAAAATACGACAGGTGTTGTACGGGTGATCCAGTATTAAGTCAACACCTCCTACCTTTCCGCTAAAAAACTGATTTTTGAAAAAATCAAGATAGCCATTTGGTGTATTTTATGTCTAGGAACTTGAAAACGTTTTTCGAAATTAAATATTGGATCACCCTATGCATTTTGAAAAACGATTTATCCGTGTTTCTAAACAGGCTGCCATTAGAAGTATACATGATCAGTATACAATATTGTGGATTCATGATTCATGGCAACCTAACCTGGGTGAAATTGGTTCAAAACGCCCAATTTGCGAAGCGAACCAGTGTTAGTTAATTAATTTTTATATGGAGGATCCAGGATGCTTAATCACTTTATGATTTATTGATAAGAGAATATGTACCTATACCATAATATGAGAATGCCCTCCAAAAGGCATACTGGGTAAAATCACGTCCAAAAGTATGTCACTAAGCTCCCAGTCTAAAAAAATGTTCAGAAAAACACACAAAAGGTTAGGAAAAAAACTGAGAATGCATACAAAATCTTGTTTGCAAAATTGAGCAAAAACTATGAAAGTATTCTTTAAAAAGCTTCAGAATAAATAGACACCTAACTTCATTAAAAAGTCGACTGCAACGAGGTTGAATGCATTTTATTACTATAGAAATGGTTTTCTACTGGTTATTTTTATCTTTTTGTGCAGTTCCACTGATTGTTTTATTTATTTCTAAATGGCGATATTCCTACTGGAAACGTCGAGGGGTCGTACAATTGAATCCAGAGTTTTTGTTTGGAGATTTGAGGTGAGTCGTTATTTTGTACATTATAATTTGTTATTTTCGTATAGCTATCGGTTACCCAACAGCATAGCAATCAAAAAGTGATTCTACTAAAACCGTATGCTTCAATAAAAATTTTCCCTCGATAATAACCAACATTGATGTGAAAATTATATTTTTAGGGATATGCTCACTGCAAAGATATCCATGGGCGAAGCCTTCAAAACAATCTATTTTACCCTCAAAAACAAAAAACTGGATTATGGCGGAATTTATTTGGCATTCAACCCGGTTTTTATACCTTTAAATCTCCAGCTAATAAAAGATATGTTGATGAAAAGTTTCGATAATTTTCAAGATAGAGGTAAGAATCTTTAAAATAAGGATTTTAATGCGTGAAATGGACATCATGTTCGTAAATACCATAACAGTGATGCCGGTGTCATTTATGTTCGGTGATAATTTCCAGCAGTGGCGTAGCTAGGCGTCGGCGACTGCCGACGGCCTCGCGCCCTAAAGAGCCTCGCAAAAAATAGGTTACCGACCCTAAAAATTGATACTTTTCGATTTTCCAAAATAAAACGTAAATAACCTAGAACTCTCAGATCATATGGTTTTAATTTTTTGATAGATTATCGGAAGGATTTGTTAGCGTAAAATTGAAAAATATTATTATTTTTGACTAAATATTGTTATTTCGTACGTAGTGTTCTGTAGTATTAGCATTCTTCCAAGTTCCAAGGCTTTAGATCAAGTGCCTTAGAATCTTGCATTGGTCTCCAAAGCTATGGTCTTGAGAGTCTTTATCCTTAAGACATTTCGAAACCTTCAGGATTTTCGGAATCTTCAGCCTCAATGGCCCTAGAATAATTAATCAAGACGCCGACATCTTTTGCATCTTCTGATTTTAGCTCAGTAAAGTCCTTATTTCAAAATATTTTGAAAAATGAGTCTTCAGAGACTTCAAAATCCCCAGAGTTTTCAGTCATGATCCTCAAAATCTCTAAGGTGTTAAAAGTATAAGGAATTTTCCTAGTTTCAAGGCTTTAAATCAAGTGCGTTAGAATGTTGCATTGGTCTCCAAACCAATGGTTTTTAAAAAGTCTTCTTAGCACTTAGCTCAGTAAAATTCTTATTTCAAAATATTTGAATAAAAAATAGTCTTCAGAGACTTCAAAATCCTAAGAGTCTTCAGTTAAGACTTTCAAGATCTCTAATAAGTTTTGCAAAGTATAAGGATTCTTCCAAGTTCCAAGGTTTTAGATCGAGTGCCTTGGAATCTTGCATTATGGTCTCCAAAGCTGTGGTGTTTAGAGTTTTTATTCCCGAGACATTTTGAAACCTTTAGGATCTTCAGAATCCATAGCCTGCAATGGCTCTAGAATAATTGAACAAGACGCCAATATCTTTTGCATCTTCTGATCTTAGCTCAGTAAAGTCCTTCTTCCAAAATATTTAATAAATAAGGAGTCTTCAGAAACTTCAAAATCACCAGAGTTTTCAGTCATGAGCCTCAAGACCCTTCAAGATCTCTAAGGTGATCGAAGTATATAAGGACTCTTCCAAATTAGAATCCGGAATTGGTCTCCAAAGCTATGGTCTTTGGACTCTTTATCCCCAAGACATTTCGAAACCTTCAGGATCTTCAGAATCTTTAGTCTGAAATGGCCCTAGAATAATTGATCAAGACGCCGACATCTTTTGTATCTTCTGATCTCAGTTTAGTAAAGTCCTTATTTCAAAATATTTGAAAAAATCAGTCTTCGGAGACTTCAAAATCCCCAGAGTTTTTAGTCATGAGTAAGACTGCAAGACCAAGACCAAGACCGAGCAGTGCAAGACATACAAGACCAAGACTTAGCATTGCAAGACTTACGCAAGACCAAGACCGAGTATGCAAGAGTCTTGCGGTCTTGCGTTTTTGAGAGTACTTAAATTTAGTATGTATTTGATTCAGTTGTTTGTATAGTTGAACATATCATATTTAACTATTATCATAGGGTCTGTTACTGGTATTGGGACCTATCCTATCCTATAACTTTGGAGAATATAAATAATTCCCACAAACACAATTATCAAACATATCTTGATTTCCAATGTAAATCGTATTGGTGTTTAAAAGCAAAAGATTTTTCTGTACATGAAAGAAACTAAATCTTTTGCATTATTTTTGCTTTTTGAATATATGAGGTATTACTTCACTACCGCACGCGAATGTGCGATGAAAAGTACAGTTACCGCAGGGCACGCGAGTAAGTGAAATTGTTAACACATTTTTCATTTGCTGAGAAATATATAAAACTGATGTGCACTTCTTCATTGAGCAATAATAATTTTGGTTTATTTCTAATCCCAGGTAAAGTAACGGACCCCCAGTGACTTATCTAGATATAAATTAATGAAATTACATGTAGTAAAATATTTCCAAAAATTTGTCACTATCAAAAGAATAGTTAGAATAATTGTAAATACCAGTGGCGCACCCAGGGGAGGGGCATCGGGCTGCCCCGCCCCCCCAGGCCGCTATCTAAAATTGTATTTTTTCGTATAAAAAAATGTGGCAACATCAAGGCGTAACATCCTGACATCTCAATTTTTTTTAGATTTTTAGACACAATCCTCAACCTATATGTAGTGACCCCCCAAAAATAATCTCTGGGTGCGCCACTGGTAAATACAAATAAGGATGTTTCAATATTACAGGGACAAATTTGAACAAGTGATCCCATAATTTCCAATGTTTTTTTGAGCATTTTTCACTTGAAAAAATTACCTGATTAGGCCGGCATACACATACATTATTTCGCGCGGTTTATCGTGTCATCTGCAAAAACCTGTGAAAAATCATGTACGTGAGTGGAGGGACTGCACGCAATGATATAATAGGCCGGCATACACACACGTTATTTCGCGCACTTTATCTTGGCATGTTAGGATGTGGCGGTTAGCATGCGCGAAAGAACGGCGGGACAAAAAAAGTGTCATGTTCCATACACTTGACAAAGTATTCAAATGATTTAGCATGTGATTACGCGGGGCACATCAGTTTCAAAGGAAAAATCGTATGTGTGGTGGCAAAAAGTGTCATTTGCATGTGGTTATGTACTAATTTTCAACGTGATAGTTTGCGACGCGGTGTTCATGTTTTCGTACTAGCCTCAAAGCTGTGACGTGGAATGGCGTATGGACACGGGTGTACACTGCACTATCATGTACTTGAATACTGACGCCACATTCCAGATGAAAGCACGTGTGAAATTCCTTCCCATTCTATCATTGCGTGCAGTCCTCCTCACTTACGTACATGATTTTTCACAGGTTTTTGCAGATGACACGATAAACCGCACGAAATAATGTGTGTGTATGCCGGCCTAATGGGAAGAAATTGCACACGTGCTTTCATCTGGAATGTGGCGTTAGTATTCAAGTACATGATAGTGCAATGTACACCCGTGTCCACTCGCCAATCCACGTCACGGTTTTGAGGCTAGTACGAAAACATGAACACCGCGTCGCAAACTATCACGTTGAAAATTAGTACATAACCACACGCAAATGACACTTTTTGCCACCACACATACGATTTTTCCTTTGAAACTGATGTGCCCCGCGTAATCACATGCTAAATCATTTGAATACTTTGTCAAGTGTATGGAGCCTATCAAGGACGTATATAAGGGGGGAGTTTTGGGGGTTCGAACCCCCCCATTGAGCTGAATAAATTATTTATTTTTTTAAGAAAAATAAACGTTTTTGGGCGTGGCATCCGAATTTTTTTTTTCGATATCCTGAGCTATGCTACGCCGTTACCTATACATCATCTGGTCTAAAATTGAAACCCCTTCCAGCCAGGAGTGTAGCCACGGGGGGGTTTTAGGGGTTAAACTCCCCCCCCCCCACTCGATCAGAAAATCAGAAAATATAAATGAAAACCACTTCAGGAATGTTTAAGCATATAGTTTTTTACCCCCAACATTATCTTTTTTTCATATAAAACATTTGACCTTCAAATTCTACAAATTTTTCGCCTGCGGCGCAATTTTTTTTCTGACATGCAATGTTTCTTAATATCAAGTACGGAACCCCTCCCCCATCTGAATTTTCTGGCTACGCGCCTGCTTCCAGCATAGACCACGAGCTGCTCTAAACCCCCCCCCCCATGTGAAAGCTATAGCAACGTCGTTGCGGCCTATTCAAGTACTTGTTGAAATTTGCTGCTGTGTTAGAGGTACACAATATTCGAAAACCAAAATTTTGATACTGGCATATATTCTCCTTTTCTTTAAACGTTTGCTTACTTCAAGTGGCATGAAATACGATTTTTCTTCAAATTTTCTTTGTAAAAATTGCCTCCAGTAAAAATCTACCAAATAAATGCAAGACTTGCAAGAGTCTTGCTGCAAGACCAAGACCAAGACTGGACCCTGCAAGACCAAGACCAAGACCACTTATCAGACTGCAAGACCTAGACCAAGACCAAGACCGCATATGCAAGACCAAGATTAAGACTAGCCCGGTCTTCGTCTTGGTCTTGCATTTGCTCATCACTAACCCCAATAAATTTTCAGTATATGATCAGCCAATGCTATCGCGAGAATTTATTTTTTGTCAAGGACTTGGGTATTACTTTGGATCCAACTCTCCAATTCTCTCAACACCTTGATAACGTTGTCATGATGGGCTTTATAAGCAGGACCACCCAAGACTTCACTAATTTGAAGGCTTTGAAAACACTTTACTGTGCTCTTGTTCGTCCCCATTTGGAGTATTAGGTACCTCCTGCGTCTGGTCTCCCTTTCATGAGTACCATATTCAGTCCTTTTTAGAGCCACCAGATCTACAGACAGCTTCCACTTCCCAATTCACCAAACCAATTATGACATAGATTTTTTTGCATGTTTTAAAACGTTCCTCCATCAGATTCATGGCTGTGTTAGAGTGTGATGTAAGCAAGTGAATAGTCGAAATCCTATTCTTATCTGCTAATCTGTTATTCATATACCTGCATCCCAATTTTGAAGAATCATTCGCTTAGATTAAGTCCTAAGCAATTTTGCTTAAAAATGGGGGTCTCCAAGATAATCTAAGAGGTCAGCTTAACCTCAGGAGTATTATTTTTATTGTCTGTATTTGCAATCGAGTATAATATCATCCCAGTATATCTGAAAATAAAAAATTAGCACCTACTAAAATTCTAATAATAATGGACTCAATTTTACAAAAATTACGATTTTCAAGGTCATACAAAGGTCACAGCGGTCTAAGAGTATTTTTTATTATTCTGTGTCCCCGAAATATTATAGATTAGAGCATAATCATGCTTCTTTACCCCGAATTAAAATTAAAATAAAAAAATCGACCGGAAAAATGGCGTTTTTGTTAGTAAAGAGTGAGAAAAGTCGATAGGTCCTCGACTCGAATCAATTAAAATGGTCTACTTAGCAACTGTGCCAAATTTCATGCTTGTATCATCAAATGGCGTTTTCTTTTGAAAAATTCCCTTAAGCAACCAGACTACTAGGCATTTTTAAGAAGAGTTAATAAAACTATTGATTGACCGATTCCCAATAATTCACAACCCTATTAAATACCTAATGTTTGGCTTGTCCACAACATTCTATGTGAAGACACTGATGAACTAATATGCAATTGATTACAATGATTACAATACAAAATGATTCTATTTTAGGTATTTATAATAATCCCAAAGACTTACTAAGCTATAATCTATTCAGAATGGGGGGGCGACCATGGAAACAATTAAGAGTAAAGCTGACTCCCACTTTTACATCCAGCAAAATGAAGATGATGTTTGAAACTTTAACTAAAAAAATTGATAAATTTCCGCCGATCATCGATCAATGCATCAGGGATGGATCTCAAATCAACGTTACCGATGTTTCCGGTCGATTTACTACCGACGTTATCGGATCATGCGCTTTTGGAATCGAGTGTGATTCGTTGAGCAATCCTGCTTGTGATTTTAGGTAAACCGACAACCGACAAATTCGTGATTCAATGGGATAAGATTCACTTTCCTTTTAGTTCTCATAGCCCAAATTTTAAAAATCTTGAATTTTTAGAATTTATGGAAAAAAAGTCAACGAGCCAAACTATTTAAGACAATGGATGGAGAAAGCATTTCCAAAAAATCTTTTACCTTATGTAGGATTTAAAACCTTGCGAAAAGTAGAAGATTTTTATAAAAATATTGTATTAAATACCATAGAACATCGAGAAAAAAATACCGTAATTAGGTAAAGAGCTTGTTTTTTATTATTATTTATTATAGGTTTCAATCACTTTGAAGTTTCGTTGGTTCCAGGAAAGATTTTATGCAACTACTACTGCAGCTTCGCAATTTATCCGATGATGAAAAACTAATTAATAACAAAGAAAAAAATCAGACTCGAGTTTTGAGCGATGACGAAATCATAGCACAATGCTTTATTATTTTCATAGCTGGAGTTGAGACTTCAACAATAACCATGGCTTTGGCTCTCTATGAAGCCGCCAAAAATAGTCTCATTCAAGATAAAATGAGACAAGAAATACGACAAGTAGTAGTATACCTTTTCTTTTAATGTTTCTTGGTTTTATTTTTCTTATTCAAGGTTTTTGCAAAATACGATGATAAGTTCACATATGAGGCAGCAAAGGAGCTGGTTTATATGGAGCAAGTGATCTTAGGTGGGCCTATAAAGAGCATGATATACAACCATTATTTTTAAATTTTTTTTGTAATTTTTAGAAACTCTCAGAAAATATCCTGTTTCGCCAACCCTTCCAAGAGTTTGTACCAAACGTTACAATATACCTGGAACGACAGTATTTATAGAAAAAGGTGAAATTGAATAAGGATTTTGAGATATAATATTTTCAAGTTACAAAAATATCATCCCAGTAGTTGGCAAATTGAAACTGTATCTAAAAATTCTGTGTGATCTTATTTAATTCAAGAATTAACGGTTTTCATAGTGTTTTGCTCGAGATGATGATGCCAAACTACATTTGAAAAAAAAAAGTATTTTTTAATTTTTTAAAGTTTTTGACCACCCTTTATTTATTTATTGTCAAAATATTAACACAGTCCACTAAAGTACGCCCTTTTACAAGTATACCACCTCTATTGAGTAATGAAGGCTTTCATATAGGGAAAATTGAGTGATAATTATCCTTCGGAACATATGTTAGAGTTATCACTTAGGTATAGGACATAATAATAAAATATATCGAGAATTTTGTGTTCATTCTAAAAATAAAATAATATACAGGGTGTCCTGTTTTAAATAAGTAAGCTGCCATCAACTTCGGGTATAACCGGAAGTAGTGTTGCAATATTCAAAATCTTTTACCCGTATGGCCTCCATTGACGTTTGCTATCTTGCCAAGTTTTCAAAATTTCCCAAAGTTTATTTGGCAGAAATTGATTGCGGCAGTTTGTCGTAGGACATGGTCAATTTATAGCCAAGTATGAACGCGCAGTTATTTTATTCCCATCATCGACGAAAATGCCGTTATCGGAGCAACATACTAAAAATACTGATATCATTTCACTTGTTATCTGGTCTAATGAATCATGTTTTGGACGAAATGATATCTACTTGTTGAAAATATTTAATCAAAATTCATTGAAATTTTGAAATCCTATATTTTTGAAATGAATAGGATCGAATGTTAATACACAATTTTTTTCTTAAAATAACATTAAACTGTTATCAATGAAAGTTTGATGATGGTGAGCTAATATTATATCACCCTGATTATAATAAGATCACTGGGTTATAGCAAAACATCTTTTTAGGGACAACTGTTGAAATTCCTATCTGGGGTATTCACATGGACCCCGATTATTATCCAAATCCAGACATTTTTGATCCAGAGCGTTTCAGTCAAGAGGAAAAAGCAAAAAGATCAGCTTCTATGTATCTGCCATTTGGGGAAGGTCCGAGGACATGCATAGGTAATGAAGATGAAAAATTGATGTTATTCAAAGAACTCTAGTGTAACATTGTTTTTAAAGATTCTTCTTCTTAATTAATAATGCCTTTGAAAGTTAAGACGACTATGACCTAAGATTTGTTTTTTTAGAGTCGATACTGGCTCAAAGCATCCTTTAAGCAATGTAATAGTTAAATGTATTTACTTTTTCAGGTGCTCGTTTTGGTATGCTACAAGTCAAAACAGGATTGGTTGGATTACTAAAAGATTACAGATACTCGATTTCGTCAAAGACGCCCAATACTTTGTCGTATACACCTACGGTTCTCTTTTTACTTCATCCTAACGAGGACATTTTTTTAAAACCTGAAAAAATCTGAAGCAACTGCAAAAGAATTGACCCAGGCAGCACTAGCGGTTTCTTCAATATACAGAGTATCCCACTGGGCACCAAATCGATCTATGAAAAACTGTATACATACAAATTTTGAACATTTTACCGTAAACTATATACAGGGTGTTTGGGGTACATCGATAGCAAATTTTCAATGTGTGATAGTTAAGGTGATTTGGAAGCTGTTGGACCATACATATTGTTACCCTTATGCAAAGCTTCGTATTTTTTGAGAAATGAGCATTTTCAGATATTTTTGGGAAATATTCGAATTGTTCCTAAAGCATAGGTATTGTTTTTTTTTTTTTGTAGTAAACACTTTAACCTTTTCCAATTTTTTCTCCGATATTCCTAGAATGCAATCTTTCGAAGAAATATGGAAAGAAAAAATAAATGATTGATACAAAAAAAGAGTAGCCCAAGTTTTGTGTTAAAATATATTTAAAATTTTTTTCTATCTTAAATAGTAAAGGCTGTAGGCTGTAGATATGGGTCCAAATATAATCAAATACCCTGTACATACATGGATGCAATATATGTAAAAATGGTGATAGCTCAAAAAACGGCGAACTTTGCATATGGGTAAATATGGTCACACGGCTTTCAAACGACCTTAACTATCACTCATTGAAATGTCCCTATCGATGTACCAAACATCCTGTATATATTATACCGTTTAGTACATTAATTTAATTATCCATACACTATTGGTAATAATTTGTATTTTTTTATAACTTTTTTCTGCGTTTCTTCTGATATTGGTGTCCTTTCATATTAGGTTTAAGTAAATATTATTGTAGGTATCTACAAATAAATTCTAGCAGTTTGTCAATGAGTGTTATTCTTTTGTTAATATATTGACATTCTAGAATATTCTAGATTATTATCAATAATAAATAATAGTAAAGTATATTTCTAGGAAGAGTTTTCTTGCCCAATGCTCTTTTTCGGGATGGGCTGCACTTCGCACTCTGGCATATTTCAGGATAGATGAGAGAATGAAAACAGTTTGCAAAGAACTGAAGTCAATTCTTATGCGCATGTTTTGGAGACAATGGCATATAATATTGACAGTTTCGTTGTAGATGGCGCTTCTGTACTTGGAGCTTTTTGAATTGTGGCGCGTGAATAACCAAGCGTAGGTGATTTGTAGAAAAAAAATGTGAAAATGTTTAGTATCTTCAATACCTGATACAAAGTGGCTAGCTGTTCTATAAAATGGCGAAATCTACAATGTGGCTACGACATCAATACATCTCTATAGAGGGTATACTATTCAAATAAAAACAGGCTAAATATCTAATGCCCCGTTTATTTTTTTAAAAATCGCTCATACACGTGCTTTGATTTTCAAAGGGGGAAGTTGTTACTATTATCAGAGAAACCAAGTGCCTCAAATTTTACCTGAAGCTGTCACCTTGACAGGTAGAATAGTTCTGAAATCTGAGGCAGTAGGATAATATTTTTACAATTTTTAGAGCCAATTATGTTGGAGATGACTTAACCAAATATGGAGAAACTATAATGTTCAATACTTAAAACTCACTCTGTATCTATGTATTTTTGGAATCAGAAAATTGTGCTCTTCAAGAATGTAGAATCAAATATAGGGCATTCCATTTAGAAATCGGCCCTATCGGGATTGCAACGGATTTACTAAGACTGAAAATCGTTATACATTATAATATATTAAACATAAATAACAGTGATGTTAGTCAGTCAGTTGAATAGCAGAACTGTGCTAGTCAGTCAGCCCCATTGAGGTAATTCAGCCCCAATTTATGTTTAAAAAAAAAAATAATGGGTCTATTTTTTTTATCTACAAGCGTTTGGTTATAACGTTTTTACATAACCATTTTTCTGGTATTTGAGTTATGTCATGAGACTCATAACATAACTAGTTGTGTTATAGCCTAGGTTATGAATTCATAACAGAACTAGTGGTGTTATGGACTAGGTTATGAATCTATAACATAACTATTTTTGGTGATTTGACAAATGTCAAAGGTAAACCTGTAAAGGTAAAATGAAGGTAGACAACTACTAATAAACGGAAATAATGGAAAAAACATTCTTATTTTTCGCTTTGCAGATAAAACGTTGTACATCACACGTGCGTTTAAACATGACTACAAAACTCGTGTGATTAGGACGACTCGGTCTACGACCTCGTCATTCTAATCTTTCACACTCGTTATTGTAATCATGTTCATAAACGCACTTGTAATGTAAATAATGAACCTTTCTCATGCAATGAACAACAAGGATAGTTTATTAAGATTTCTGCAATAAAGAAAGAGACACATATAATGACGAGCGATACCTGTGTGGAATGACTTTGATTGGTTCCACTTGTCAAATTTTGTAATTTCGGTTATGTTTCTGTTTTTGTTTATTTTTAAACGTAAATGTGACAAATATGTGGAGGAAAATTTTAGAAAAGTTTGAGAAAAACGAATTTGCAAGTGCTAGTAAACCTTTAATTGTACAATTATTATTGTATTTCATATAGAAATCGTTATTTTATGAACCCTCAAATCTCCTGTTCCAACTTGAATCGTTTCCAGTGAGGTTGAGAGCACGTATTCAATGTAACCATTGTTTTCTTACAATTTGATTGCTTGGGAACTTGTGAAAAGAAAGGTTTGACTTCTTTTTCGCCTCTTGGACAAGATCTCACACAATACATTTGAAACATTGTATAATAAACAGTTTTTGTAATAATTTTCAGCAATATTGATTGATTATTGAGGTTAGTTTTAAAAACGTCAGGGTCAGACCGCGTTCATAAATTGACAAGTTTATTATCTGTCACCCACAAACGGCGCCCGCAGCACAGGTAAAATGAGAAAGGTCCATTATTAAAAGTTACAGCGTGACAGTGACAATTTAAAATTGAGATTGAAGTCAAGAATCGTAAACTCTACAGGATTGCTCAATCCTATAAGATATACTTACGTTCACTAAAATATCGAATATGGGGGAATGCGGGTGACGTCAGGTGCCAACGTCGCAGTCCTTGATCGGATTGTTTTTTATTATGACAGTAAATTTTTCTTGCATTTTCAGACGTGAGAAATTGTTATTTCCTTTGAAAACAGTGTTTTTTTAAATTTAGCAGAGACTTCAAAAGTTTGTGCGCTTGAGTTGTTGGCTAATTATTAATAACTATTTTCATCAACCGTGTTTTTGAGCTTGCACAAAGACGAATTTGTTTGATATAAGCGAAACGTGGTTGCAATAGTGTGTTTTATTTTTTACTCTCTCTACCTACTTCTCAATTATTATTCAATAGTTTCATAGTAGACCCTGAGATAGGGCCTGTTTAGTGGAGTCATTTTTTTTTGTCTGGCATTTTGAGGGATGAATGTGACTAGTTAGCTGATGAGAATATGAGTGGTTTTAATGTCTGCCTCCTGTTCGAAATATCCACAGAATGTTTCGCCGGAAAACTCGATTTCGAACTGTGATTACCGTCCGGCAATTTTTCAGCGTTATTGTCACAACAAAACCTTTCATTCTCTCGATTGCCAGACAAGAAGTAAACGCGGAAGGTTCTTTTCTTTTCTCTTGGAAGTTGACACCCATCCCCATTTTTTCAGCTATTGAAAAGCATCTGATGTTTTTCATGGGTGAATTATTTATCAATGTCAATCTTTTATTTTAAAGCTAGAAAATTTGAGATCATTAAAAAAAAAATCTTCATGTAAATCAATTTTTTTCTTCTGCAAATTTTCGAACAGGAAGCCGGCACTAAAATCACCCATATTCTCATCAGCTTAGTAGCCACATTCAGCCCTCAAAATGCCAGACAAAAAAAAATGACTCCACTAAAAAGCCCCTATCTCACAGTCTAGGTATTAGAACGATTTAATATGGACATTCAAAGTAAGTGCTTATCTCACAAAGCCAAATAGTGATACCTACTTTAGATTTTCATAGTCCTAATCCAGAAAAGCACCGCAAGTTTCCCATATTTTTCATGAGTTTACATAGTAAACAGGCAAATACAGGAACGGCATAATGTTACTACATGGGCTAGATCAGAGGTCAGAATGTTGGGACGGCCTGTCGCACTTGTCCATTAGAAGTGCCGCATGTTTTGTTTATTTCCCGCTCATTGCTCTATGGAAATTTACGCGAAGACATTTTAATATTTATTCATGAAGGAGACGAATGCGATAAAACTACCCACGACGTTTGTTTATTATATTGTAAGTGAAAACACTTATCGTGCAAACTTGTTATTCGAAAACGACATGAAAATTTGAATTAAAGATTTACCCCCTCAAATAATAAAAAAAGAAAATTTAAAAATTGGAACTGCAGAGCAAATATAAAAATTTGTATCAAAATAACAAGGAAAAACATAATTGGAAGGGACAAATTTGTAAAGGTCAGTAATATTGATTATATACAGGGTGTCCCGTAAGTAATGGTAAATAATGAAAAAATATTGACATTTTCAAAGTTTCCTAGACCAAAAGTCAACGGCCATACAAAGGTACAGGGTGATAAAGTTGATTTAGTTTTTTTTTTTAAATTTGGGTCATAAATTTCGCAATTACATGTCTGTCAGTCTGTCATTTTGCTTTTGAATTTTGATTTGAATTTGAAGGTTTTGCTTCTCATCCTACACCTGGTCATCACCTGGTGCAGCTTGGTGTTACTTGTTACCAGGGGCGGATGGGACCGCCCGGAACATCGGGCAAATGCCCGGTGGGCCGGATCACGAAATTGGGCCGCCGTCTCAATGATTTTTTTTTATAAGTTCTTGTAAACATAACACCAAAATTTTTAGCTCCAATAATATTATCTTCTAAATTGTTATATCATCAAAAACCGGGACCAGTTCCTTTACTTTTTTTGCCCCAGCCCTATTTTTAATCCTACCGTACGGCTCAGACCATGATTGGCTGACCATACCCAGCCCTATTCATCATAAGAAAACTCTGGCCGAGGCGTGATTGCTGTTCAATGATATTTTTGTGCAATTACTATTGGACTCATTTAGTATATTCTTCCATTATCCCCTATCACTAGTAACTTCCTCTCTGGCGCGCTAATATTTTTGAAATTTGAAACACTCGAAAGAAAGATGTCATTATAGGCCAAGAAGTGGGTCTTTTCGTGCTCAGCTCAACGTTTGAAGTACAATCGAGCGAATGACAGATAGACCTTCTGGACCGAATGGCATACAACATTTTATCTTCAAACAACTGCAATATCAGGTATGTTTCCACAGAAATCACAAACCAGTCAGAGTGATTTTCGTGGGCTGAAAATAATCAGGAAACTGGTTGTTGGCGATTTGGACCAATCAAAAACGCTCGGACTGGTTTGTGATTTCTGTGAAAACGGACCTACCTTTCACAGCTATAATTTAGGACTTTGTTTCATTTTTAAATTGTTTGTTTACTAAATGTCAAAATGATCAAATGTCACTCCTATAACTCACTGCTAATAGATGGCGCCACGGCCTCGGTGCCCAGAGTGATTTGTGAATAAATCTAACCTCAATGTCAGAGCAGAAATTAATAGTTCGAAAGGCGGCCCAACTATTTACTTCCGACCACAAAGTATAAACCAATTGGATCAACCTTTGATAGTTTTTGAACACTTGAACTGTCAAACATCCGAAACAGATTTAAACCGAACACCCGTTCTCAATTCGAAAACATAGGGTCTATTTTTTTGAATGAAGAATACTACTATATTCATTTTATGTTACCACGAGTCAAATTCAATAAACTGAAATAAAAAATAATAATATTGAACAAAAAAATTAAAACGAAGAAACTAGTGAAAATTAT